CAGCTGTAGTGGATGTTTTCAATATTATGCCTCGCAATTCACCTCGATGGTGGGTCATGCGTCGCACTGGTGGTGCATGGAAGGACCTCGAGGTTACGGACGATGCTGAGGACGACTACTATGTCAGCCTTTTGCGAATGAAGAGATCCACCTTTAACCGCCTTCTCTGGGTCTTCGCACCGCATCTGCAGAAACAAGTTACGAGGTGGAGAAGGCCTTTGCCACCGGCACAGGTGCTGGCTTACGCGTTGCATCGATGGGCACATGGCGACGCTCATCTGCACAGCACATCCATGTATGGCATGGGCAAAACAAGCGGCCTGCGGGCTGTTCGCGATGTGGCTGAGGCCATCATACGCTGTTTTGGAGACGCAGTTGGGTTTGGGACATATGAGGAGCGGCACCGTCGGATGCAGAAGTTTGCTGCCCTTGGTTTCCCGAACTGTTGGGGGTGCATTGACTGCACACACGTGTTTGTCGACAAACCGAAAAAAAAGGACGGAGACGATTTCATGGGCGGTCACAAGAAACGGTTCTCTATCGTCGCTCAGTTGGTGTTCGATACGGAGTTGCGGATTCTCGATCTGTGTTACGGGTTTCCTGGCACTGTAGCCGATGGTCGTGTGCTGAGGAACTCTTCTTTGTGGCGGGGGGCCGTGGCTGGGGAGCTGTTTGCGCCTGACCATAAAGGTCCAACCCGGCACTTGCGTCCCGAAATTCCGGGAGTGCCTGGGGGATACCTGCTCGACGATAATGGATATCCTACTCTGGCTTGGCTTGTGGTTCCGTACGGGCACAGTGGTGTGGAACCACACACGAAGATTTTTGACAGTAGGCACAAGGTTGTACGTTCTCTTGTCGAGCGCGGCATCAGCCTCTTCAAAATGCGGTTCCTGTATTTCTACAGGCCTCACGTGTGTGATCTCAAGATCGAAGGAGAAGAGTTCCATGCCGCGTGCATAGTGCACAACTTGCTTCAGGACTGGGGTGACCTTCCGGAGGAGTACCTGCAGCCACCAGATACTAATAGTGGCACACAACYTCCATTCAGTAGAGCAGTTGCAGGTGATTTGCGTGCGGTGCGTCAGTYTCGGACTAGAGAGCCTGGGGTTCAAGTTAGGCATGCCCTGTGTGCTCACGTCAACGCTTGGGTTGCCAACCGTGGCCGTTAGAAGCTTTGCAGACATTTAGACATGGCGAAGGGAGGTGAAGGTAGTTATGCCACGGCTGTGTGTGGCGGGGGGAAGGAGGGACAGGTGGAATGTATTGTGCGGACTGCACAGAATCTGAGTGACGCTCTTCTTAGTGCGCATCAGGAGTTGTCTTTCCTGCATAGATACCTCGTCAAGCAAGGAGATGACATAACGGTTGTTGTGAAGGACGACGATCAGCAATGGCGTGATGAACACAACCATAGCCATTATTGTGCAAGAAGATGGTGCAAGACGGTTGATGCAAGACTTCGGCAATCTCGTCTGAACGTTCGAACTTGGTGCGACGATGTCCTCCAGAAGCTAACAAGATGGAAGGCAAAATACGAAAGTGCAAACAAAGAGATTCAAATATTGAAGGAGGACAATGAGGACCTGCAGGGGCAGGTCCTTGATGCGCGTGAGCAGCATCATTATTTGCAGACGCAGCTGCAAGATGCTATCATTGTCATCCAGGAGGCTCGTGATCAGCGGGATCTGGCATGGCACTGTTATGATGAGCGTTTCGGGGAGATGGCAAATCCTGCAGGTGATGTGGAAGCCCTTTCCTCCGAAGTCGCTGTGGTGAGCTTGGAAGAAGAAGCTCATGGCGAAGCTCATGGCGAAAACGGTTCCCGGGAGGACGGTGAGCCGACGAAATGCAAGTTGTGCTCGTCCTTGCATTCAAAAGTTGAAGAACTAAGACATAAGCTGGAGAATATGGAGCAGGTTAACAGCCTCCTGCAGGAGCCGCCTTCTTTCTGGAATGAGGTTTTTGACTGGTGATTGTATGGGACGGCCCATCCGGGGGGGGGAGGGGGCTTGTGCGTTCTAATCATCACCGTTGATCTTAGGCATAACGCCGGCTGTGTTTCTTTATCGTATATTAGGCAGCAGTTTCTAGGATACTGCTAGCGATCTAAGGTTTGATAGGTATATATATATATATATATATATATATATATATATATATAGAGAGAGAGAGAGAGAGAGAGAGAGAGAGAAAGAGAGAGAGAGACTTCGGTATACCGTGTTGTGTAGTTCGTTGCAACTTGCAACGCTTTTTGATGGGAGACAGGTTTTGTAAACTCAATGGAGAGGTACTTTCTGTTTCCGTTTTCTTTTTATTGGTGTGAATTTGTAAAAGTACTTTCTGTTTCCGGTTTCTTTTTTTTTATTTTTTATCTGTTAATGGAAGATGCTACCATGTTCCTTGCCGGTGTAATTTTCGGTGCACGTCGCAGATATTTTGGTACCTTGTGGATGTTCTTCAACAATGGTCATGTCGTGGATGTAAAACACTTGTGTTTTTTTTTTGTTTTTTTTTTTCCCAATGTTTATTCCACGACGCTGTTGGTGTGTGTGAGCTGCCCAATATCGGATGTTGGGTGTGTGAAACTGCTATAATGCTGAGAGAGAGAGAGAGAGAGAGAGGGATTGGAATACAGGTATCCAGATTGTAAACTGTGCAATAACGAAATGGCAGATATCCAGATTCGAAAATCACGTTGAAAGCCATAAAGTCGAACGCTGTCTAGATAGCAGAAATGCACCGATATTCCACCTACGGAGAACCAAAGCACCGACACTACTCGGCGCCCTTTCTCCTACTCGGCGCTCAGCGCCCATAATACTACTATCACACAACTACTTATCCAGCCAATGAAACGCACCAAAAACCAGTTGACGTCAGCATCAACGAACAAAGCAGAAGCATATGTCGACCATGTAGACCATCGCCCAGACCAGCTACGTGCCCTCAAATCATTATGGTCGTCTCTCAGAGAGAGACACACAGAGAGAGAGAGAGAGAGAGAGAGAGAGAGAGAGAGAGAGAGAGAGAGAGAGAGAGAGAGAGAGAGAGAGATGGTGGAGAAATAACACCAAACTCAAGATCGAAAAATGTGCAATAACGAAATGGATATATCCAGATTCGAAAATCACATTGAAATATATATATATATATATATATATATATATATATATATATATATATATATATATATATATATATATATATATATACGCCATTGTTGAAAGACAAATACCGTTCTCATTGTGCTGCTTGCGCATATTGCAACCAAAAAAAACGTGTCCACTAACAACAGAATGCCTTTGCGAAGTTTTCAAACTGAATCAAAAGTTATCCGTTTAAGACGGATCATGGGACCACCCGTTCATTCACGAATGCACCAAGAACCTCTAGACCTTGGCGGGCACCTTCTACAAAAATACAAAGAAAACAGAAGTGAAAACCAGAAAGGAGGGATCTATCTCGCCTGCCAGATGGTGTACAGGGTCAAATGTACGGCATGATGTCTATCTTGTTGCCGGCCACAGGACGCTGCTATACGATACAACGTGTGAAGATGTTCATAACAACTCCTTTACTGTGTCGTATGTCGACGTCATTCGTCCTCTTCAGCGTCAGGAGATCTCGCCCTCTTCCTGCCCAANGTGTGAAGATGTTCATAACAACTCCTTTACTGTGTCGTATGTCGACGTCATTCGTCCTCTTCAGCGTCAGGAGATCTCGCCCTCTTCCTGCCCAAGCTGCGAATAGCATCAGCGAGGATCGCGTAGCCCTTTTCCAATCTCTCCCCCAGTCTCTCGGAATTGCTTGAACGAGAAGCAATATCCTCACGCATCACTTCGCATGTCAGCTTCGCCGCTCTATCTTGTATAGTCAGCTGCTYACGCAATATCTGGTGGTGCGTGATGTCGGATCTCGTCTGTGCCGATGTGTGATCACGCATAGCCCCTGTCACGGCACGCATAGCTAGCTCACGTGCATTCTGTTGACACCTCTTCCGCCTGCCTAAAGTTTCAGTCACAGTTGCGGACGACGTCGACCCTCCAGACGCTGATGTCGATGCACCTGCTTAACCAGGCATGGAAGTCCCCCCCCCTCCTCCCGCACAGTCATATAAGGGAGGTTCAGCCCCCCCTCCAGATCCACCAGTGTGAGACCCCCCCCTTATAGCCGATCCATCCTCCATTGCTTCCTCCTCCTCAGCATCATCATCACCAACCTCCACATCACTGTCATGTACGTTGTCCATGTTATGCTCGCCGGCGCCGGGGTCTGTCAGACTGTTTGGATTAATGGTGTCCTTGTCTACCTCATGCACATTAATAATATCATACCAATCCCTGCGCATCATGAAGTCCAAGCTATTTGCTTTGCGTGTYGCCTGATCCATGGACCAGTAMTTTTGGTTGCCCGACCACCGATTGTGATCTTTAACAAGCCTGTAGTTGTTGCGGACGTAGTGAAACCGATTCTTGCAGTCTTCGTCCTCTCGATTGTACTGTGCCTCCTTCATTCTCTCACTCACGTCCCGCCACAAACGYTGCTTCAAGGGAGCGATCCCCATGGCTTCRGAGTTCTCTCCCATATTTGTTTTCACTTCGTACACACGCCTAAGTAGCATTGTCGTCTCCAKCTCCCCCCATCGATTGGAAACCTTTTTCTTTTTGCCACCATCAACCGATCCACTTGCAGCGGCAGGTGCAACAGCTTCAGCCACTGCAGGTGCAACAGCTTCAGCCACTGCTTTACCGACCGAGATGGATGTCGATCCACCAGAAGCATTGCCCAGCTCGGAACAAAGGGCATCATGCCTTGTGCTCGTCTGATCCACATGACGAATGTCAACCCCGCAAGGCATTCCTCCCTCGKCAGGCATCCCACGTACTGCAGGTGGCGTGGATCCACTGTTGCCGTGCTGCTGGTCAAGGCCTTGAACGAATATTTCCTGCGAGTCGAAATCACCATCCTCCACAACATGGATGAGACGTTGAAGAAAAGTTCGATTGTGTAGAGATGCCTCCCCTGCAGGTTCTGGCTGGCACCGCACATCAATGTCTGGGCTGCCATACTGCAGATTGCGCACAGGTGGAGACGTGGAAGGCTTGCCAGTCTCCTGCTGCAGTGATGGAAAGATGCCCGTGACACCCTTGCGCACCGATGCTGGAGTGGAATGGCAAGCTACCGATGGTGAGCCAGTGGCAGCAGGGGCAGATGCAGTGCTGTGCAGGGGGCTGAGAGGGCAGTCCACGACAGTTCTTTGGGCCTCAGGCGTGTCTGGCAGATCTGCACAACGATGTGAATAATTAGGTGCAAATGTGAACCGTGGAGGGGAGGGGTGCTGACTAGACGTCAGAGGACTGTAGAAACCTTGCTCACCAGCCATATCCATGGCACGGAGGCGGAGTCGCTCTCGCARCTGGTCCTCGTCACCRTCATCAGCGGTGATTCGCCTCCCCCCAAAAGCTAGGTCAACCTGCGAGGAGGGGATCTGCATACCGTCCGATTCCTGGACTTCAGAATCGGGCGTGAATCCCCAGTCACCAATGCACTGCAG